TGAAAGGTCCTAATGGCTAGAGGGGGGGTGAATAGCCTATAAAAATTTCTACAACAACACTTAAGCCAAGAGGTTGGACAATTATGAAGCAAAGCGAGTGTTGTGCTAGCTTACTCAAAATGCAAGCCTCCTACCCATAATTCTAGTTGCTACGATCTCTAATTCACACAAAGAGGCTAAGTCACTTTCACTAAGTTAGTGAGCTCTCAAAGACTAACTAAAGAGCCTCACAAACCAAACTAGACAAGACACAAGCTAGCTCTCAAAACTAGTTACACTAAAGAGCTTAGCTACACTAGGTAAGTAAATGCACAAGAGAGGTAGTGAGTTATACCACCATGGCAAGAGATGATCAATCAATCACAATGAATACCAATGAAATCCTTGGAGAAAAGATGACACAATGATTTTTCACCGAGGTTCACTTGCTTACCGACAAGCTAGTCCCTGTTGTGGCGATTCACTCACTTAGAGGTTCACGCGCTTATAGGCATCACACGCGTAACCCACAATCGGGTACCACATAATCCAACACAAGATAAGGATCCACAAGCCACGAGCAATCCACTAGAGTACCTTTTGGCTCTCCGCTGGGGAAAGGTCAAGAATCCCTCACAATCACCACGATCGGAGCCAGAGACAATCACCTTCGTATGCTCGATGATCCTCACTGTACCAAGCCATCTAGGTGGCGCAACCACCAAGAGAAATAAGTGAATCCCGCAGCGAAACACAATCACCAAGTGCCTCTAGATGCAATCACTCAAACAATGCACTTGGATTCACTCCCAATCTCACAAAGATGATGAATCAATGATGGAGATGAGTGGGAGGGCTGTGGCTTAGCTCACTAGGTTGCTATGTCAATGAAAATGACCAAGATAGTGAGCTAGAGCCGGCCATGGGGCTTAAATAGAAGCCCCCATGAAATAGAGCCGTTGGGCTCAACACAAAGCCCAACTCGCGCTTACCGGACGCACCGATCAGATCGACCGGATGTAGCCAGCCTAGCGTCTGATCATGTGATCCTCGCTATGTGTCCCCGTGATTCAACGCCCACCGCATGATCCCAACGGTCGACTTTGCCCGCGCCTACGCTCAAGTGGAGACCGGACGCACCCGCGAACCAACCTGACGCGCCAGAGCCATGTCCGATCGCGTGCATGCCCGGGCGCCCAAGCCAATGACCAGATGCAACTTTACCACCACCGACTCTGCGCCACCTCACGTCCGATCAGATCTAGTAAGGGTCTAGAGACAATTTTTGTCGATCGAACGCGTCAGCTCAACCTCGACCGGATGCAGGCTAGCGTCCGATCCTTTCTCCAGCTGCGCGCCAAGTTCAAACATCCCCACGTCAGCATACGTCACTGTGACTAGATGTACCATAGTAAAGTCCGATCGCTCCTTGCACTAGCATCTAGTCAAAGACCGAAGCCGCGCTCTTCACTGCTAAAATTGACCGGACGCACCCGACTGAGTCTCGTCACTGCCAGAGTAGTGTCCGGTCACCTCGGGACCGTTCCTCCACTTCTCAAACTTCGCTACCCTTGCTCAAATGTGCCAACCACCAAGTGTATCATCTTGTGCACGCGTGTTAACATATTTTCACAAATATTTTCAAGGGTGTTAGCACTCACTAGAATCTAAATGCATATGCAATGAGTTAGAACATCTAGTGGCACTTTGATAACTCGCATTTCACGACGAGTTTCACCCCTCTTAATAGCACGACTATCTATCCTAAATGTGATCACACCCACTAGGTGTCTTGATCACCAAAACAAATAGCTCCTATCAAATATACCTTTGCCTTGAGCCTTTTGTTTTCCTCTTTCTTGTTTTCCAAGTCTGGAGTACTTGATCATCACCATGGCCTCCACCATCATCTTGATCATCACCCATTTGCTCACCACTTGGTGCTACCCTATCTCATGATCACTTAGAGAAATGGGTTAGCACATAGGGTTTCATCAATTCACCAAAACCAAACTAGAGCTTTTTAGTGTGACATGGGAAAGGGGGGAGCCGTGGCTTGTAGAGAGAGAGAGAGAGAGAGAGAGAGGGGGAGGGAGAAAAGAGATAAGGGATTAACCCTAAACTTGCTTGTCTCTATTGATAATTCTACCCTCATATATATAGGAGTTTACAAGAACGCTAATGGGCTTAGACATGTTATCAATAGAGTCCATATCCCCTACTACTCTTTTTAGATCTAATCTATAACAATTGAGCCTAGGCCCCTCCCTAATTAATTAGTCCACTAACATGTCTGGGTGCCTTCTTCTACTATATGTCTTAACGACCATAACCTCCTTTGGTGGTGCTACAGAACCTCCTTCCTTGAATGGGTTTGATTTTGAGATGAAAAATTGAGGGCAAACTATGGATGATAACTTGATGGCAAACTAAAGATTCAAATTTAAGATTTCAACCATAGCTAACTTCATGGCAAACTTAAGATTCAAATATATTAAAATTCCTAGGCTTATGCTTTTCTCGGCAATGGCGCCAGAAATGCTTGTTGGTATTTTTTATGCTCAAGTAGAGGATTCTGCAAGCATATAGAATACCGTTGTAGCACTTCACCAAGGAGTGTTTCAAGGTATATATGTCATTACTTATTTAATCCTAAGGCAAAGCTATAACTTGGAATGATACTAAATTAGAGATCTTAGTGTTTACCACAACTTAGTTCGATAGTGTAGTGGGGGTAATCGAAATATGATAGGAAGGGTTCAAGAAACAAGCTCAACATGGTCCTTAAACCCCTTCTTTAACCATCAACATGTCTTTACTCTGAGCATCCAAACAACATAAAAGTAATGTTTTTGTTACAATTTTACTTGGTTCCACCTATACTCGGAAATGTTTTGGATGTAGGAACAAACATGCAAATTCATCAAAATTAAGCACTAAGAGGCAATGGAGCAAGGCATGGCCACCAAGGGCCACCTGGTGGGGTCAGTTGTCCCCACCCTAGGTCATCTGACTTGGCCCCACTAGGTGCCACCTCACCAATCCGTGGCTCACTGAGGAAACACACTTTGGAATGTCCTGGCATGTTGATCCATTGTCGGTTTGATCCAAGGGCTCACATGAATGCTCCCAAGGATTGGATGGCCCACCATGCATACTTGGGTAATCGCTAAGGCATCCAAACAACTTGGGTAACCACGAACCGCCATCAGGAAGCACTGTGAGGCGTTGGATCAATGGCGGTGGCCATCCCTAGGTTCGCCGACCCTATAGGGGGTCGCACGACTCCCCTTGTCAGCTTCGCCGCCGTCCACTGCACTACAAATACCCCTTGCTAATGTACACTATAAATAGGGTTAATTGGCACCAGTTGTACACACACCTCAAGAAGAAGAATCTCCCCACTCTCTCAAGATGTAGTACTAGCATTAGTGTTAGTGTTAGTGCTAGTGGGAGTTAGAGTGAGTCGAGCTCTGCTTAGAGTCTGGAAGCAGTCTTCAGGAATCTGGTATAAATCTTGGGTGTTGCTGTGAGGGCATTCCCCCAACACTAGTGTCATCAACATTTCATACAGAGATAGACAAGATGTAAATGTAGTAAAAAAACAGGGGCAGATGCACCGAGGGGCTGCAGCCCTGGTTGTGGTCCTAATTCCTAGGGAACGGATCTTTAGCCCAGCCCAATAGTCCCCATCCATCCCCCTGCCCGCTGCCCTGGACTCATGACTGCGACCGCCAACCGTGCCGCGTCTGGCCATCCCCGCGACCCCACCTGTTGCCTCCGCTGCCTCGCACCGGTCCAGTGTCTCGTGGTAGTGGCTCCTGCCTACGTGGTAGCCTGCTGCGCCTGGCCGGCAACGCCCTGCTCTGCGCCTCCCTCAGCGGCTAAGCCCAGCTACTGGCAGCCATAGACAGGGGCCCGGCGCCCCCTAGTTGCGGTGCTACCCAAGTCGCCTGTGTGGCTACGCCAGGGGCTAGGCCGGCCGGTCGGCAGGCCCTTCGGCCCTTCCTCTTCCCTGTTAGCTGTCTCCTGCTCCGACTTCTCGATGACAGACTGGCAGTGAGGTGAGACTGAGATCCAATCATCTAGATCTTTTTTTTATTTTTGTTTTAATATTTAGTCATTGTGATTCGGTGATTTTAGTACATGTGTGGATAGTGACAAGTGTAGCAGAAGTGGAGGCATATAATGATCGTTTAACTAAAATTTTAAAGCTCTTACAAGGCTTAAGAAACAGTAAGATAAATTTGCCATGCGAGGGCCGAGGTGTGTGTTGTACTAGTTCATTTCAATCCATAATATTATCTTGCTTTTTGAAGAACTATGACATTTTTATTTTTGTATGTAGAATGGAGGATGCTGTTCCAAATGGTGTGAAATTGTGAAGGCATATTTGATCATTTAGTTAACAGAAGCAATTCATTAGGTGCCTTTCTATCATTAATGATGTATTGTTTAATTAAGCACTTTGAATTGAGTGTTGTTTGTTAGATCTATTAGTGTATGGCAAGTATAATTTCTAGCCTTCTAGGCCTAATTTGGAAACTTTGATCTTTTCGGGATCCCGGACTTTTCTCGGGAAAGGTAATCTATAGGGATATCATTTTAGTTATCATCTTAGTTGTTCATAGGGGGACTTTCCATCCCTGGGGTTTGCCCCCCTTGCTTCCAAAGTAGGTCCTATTGTTTTGCCCCCTAGTCCATTTCTGGATCCGCTAACGGTAAAACAAGTAAACTCTTCATAACAATATTGTGAAAAATGGATTATAGCTGACGTCTTTTGACCACAAGGCGGTCAAATTATGCATCATATAATATATAGAACATAAAAGCTCGGCGTTAGAAATGAAAGCGGTAGAAAATGCTATTGCTTATTACATTCACATTGGGCGATCCGGTATGTATGTAGCTGCTGAAAACAGGCAGTACTCCACGCATTCACATCGATCGGGTGCATATCATTAGGTATGTAGCATATATTTATGATGATGTAGGAGTTGGGCCGGCCAGGTGGCTTAGCTCTAGACTTTCCATGTAAGGAACTCCCCTTTCACAAAGTTGTAGTGGCCGCCGACCAACTTGAGGGTCCCGTTGGCCAGCCCTTCCTTGACGAAGGGGTAGGTCTTGAGGTTCTCCAGGGACACGTTCACGGCCTCCTGTAGAAACATTAAGAGATACAGGGTCTTTTGGTGAGCAAACAAATCCTTTCATGCAACAACTAGCTGCTCGTGTGTGTACGGTATACGTACCTTCTCCAGAATATAGCACTGGTCATCAAACGGCACCGAGGCGTGCTCTTTCTTCACCTTCATCTTGGCAGGGAAGCCGATTTTGACCCAGTCCTCAACAAAGTGGCTGGGTACACCACCAAACCAACAGACAACAATCTTGGATCAAAATCATGACACGAGACACACGAGTTTTTTTTTTTAATCTGAATGAAACTTGTATATTTTACGGTGATGACTTACAAGTTGTCAGGTGCGCCGTCCTGGAGGGAGAGGAGCGCCCTGATGCCACCGCAGCAGCTGTGGCCAATGACCACGAGGACCTGCACCTTGAGAGCGCACACGGCGTACTCGATGGCGGACCCGATGCCGGTGTACTTGGTCTGCAGTCGACGAATACGAAAGGCGGCCGTGTGAGTCTCCATCTTCTGTCAATGCCCCGCGGCGGCCGGGCCGAGAAGAAATAGACGTCCATTGCGTCTGTCGGTGTGTGTATGCGTACCTTGTCGTAGCCTGGGACCATGGCGGCGATGTTGCGGACGGTGAAGGCCTCACCGGGCAGCAGGCCCAGGGTCACCGACGGGCACACACGGGAGTCAGCGCAGGCGAACACCATGTACTGCATGCAGCAGAGGAAGAAAATCACCATCAGGTCGGGAAAAGAGGGAGCACGCAAAATCGAGTCCGGTTCCAAATGCAATATATCTGTCATCTGCAAAGTTAGCCTATATAGGGACGGCGGCATCTAAATAATTTACCAACCAAATGCAAATCACCCAGCTAGCATGCAGCACATGGGTTAGCACTCGCGGCGCGCATGTTAGACTGTTAGTGCCCACAACAGTGGTGACCGGTGGGCAGTGGGAGTTGTGAAGGATTTTGCATGTATGCATGTATCCACCACCATTTCTTTGCGCTATGACTAGTAGTGCCAAAGTTGAAGCCAGTGCGCCATAGAGCAGACTTGTACAAAATAATTATAGGACTAGTTATATACACCTCGCTTTACGAGAAGTTAAACTTTTAAATTTTAACTAGATTTATATAAAAATATATTAATATTTATAATGTATAATAAATATCATTAGATTGAGCATTAAGTATACTTTGATGATAAATTTATTTAAAGATAAAAATATTGATATTATTTTCTTTACTTTTAGTCAAACTGAAAAAAGTTGGATTCCTCGATAAATGATATATGTATTTATTTTAGGACGGAGGGAGTATATCCAACATACTACTACTATACTTGCCAATTGGCCGCTAATGGCGACAAGCTGTCACCATCAGTTTTAAGTTATATACAAACACTTTAATCTAATAATTTGTAAACCTAAAAATTTGATAAAGCAAAATGGTTGCTTACCATTTTTATTTAAACTTCTCCACTTTACCTATTGTTTTATTAATTATTGTCCACTATAATTTAGTTTACTTCAATATTGAAGATCTTTCATTGGGATATGATATTGAAGATTATTAGAAGTGTACTTTCATATAGTCTACTTTGGTTATCGATGAATTTAGCAGTAAAATTTTATACATGTACGTTGAATTTAAGAATATATACTTTGAGTTGAATTGAGTAAATGTCCAAATAGAAATCCAAATCCAAGACATCTGTTTTATATTCGTATTTGAAAATTTGTCTTTGAATTAAAATGTCATAAAAGGTGATATCTAGATTCGATTCTATGTGAATATGATCCGTTTTCATCCCTACACATACCCTGGGGGTCTGGCCGGACTTGAGAGGCTCGAAAAGCTCTGGCTTCTTGCTGCAAAAAAAACCAATGGGGCATAGGATCAGTAGGAGCTCTCTGAATTCCCAAAATAAATCAGGCGGTTGAAACTAAAAAGATTAAACCAAACGCTTGTGTTGCAGAAAACAACAGCTCTGAGTAGAGAGATGACTTACTCATAGACTTCGATCTTGAACTGCTCGAACCCGCTCTTCAAGCGCTCAACAGCGTCAATCACCTGCAGGACCAACAACCAGAAAATTGTCGGTCAGTTCGCCATCCCCAGAAAGACCAACTTGCATGCTCGTGGTTGTGATGCAGCATGAGGGGGTAGAGAGAGGGGGGGCATGATGCAATGTTGGTCTCCTTGGCCACGGACCACAAGAAAAGCATGCATACAGGTGATCTAAAAAGGGGGACAGGGATCTTCTTTGCACCAGCACGGTACAACACAGGGAGAAAGTAGAAGGTGCAGGCCAATGATGGCAACAGGGGAAAAGAAAATGGAGGGATGGACACAGTGTGTTCTGTATGGAGGATGATGCCGAGGGTGAGGGAGGAGGAGGAGGGAACGGACCTTAGACTGGGTGGGTGGGCTTCTGGTTCTCAAGGAGTGACGAGGTGTGGGAATCTATGGACGGCTTCGATGCCCCCTCCTTCTTTTTATATATAACAGGGGAGGCAAAGGTAAATTCTCGTCTTCTCTTTTCTTCCTTTCCTCCCTTATAGCCAGGAAGATGGATGCAGTGCGGCCCTCCCTCCCTTTCTCTCTCTCACTCTCGTTCACCTCTTGAGCTGCCCAGTCGTCTAGATTACTAGCAACATGAACATGATGACACGTGCAATTGTTTCAGTGAGAGAAACAGACATTGCACGGCGCACGCTTTCATGAATAAAAAATAAGTAATGGCTGAGCGTGGCTTTTGTGGATGATATATCCTACTTGAGCGCGCGTTGTGGAGAAGAACGACTCCAACATGATGTTTTCTTCCTCGGGGGACCACTGATTCGGCAAACCATGGTGCCCATGGAAAGGAAGTGGCATCTTTGTGGTAGATGGACCTCGATGGCCATGGCCTCATATCCAACATCACAGACGAGCCTGGTGCACCGACAAGGTTAGAAATTCAAGACGAGGGCAAGCGCCCAATCGGATATAGGACCTGACAACAACTGGACTGGAAGTTGGTAGGGGTGGAACGTGACAGATGGATTTGCAGCGCAGATAGAGTTCGATCTTTTATCGGAGAAGACGAGAAGTAGGTTGATTTAAGATGATAAGGGCCGATTTCAAGTGCTGCGGGGAGGATTTCAAGTGTCGTGGGCTGGAATTGGTGGTGATTTTGTTGTTCTTAGAAAGAAATTGCGATGGCAACGAGGGAGAGAAAGTGGATCGGAAGTTTGGATCTGGAGTGTGCCAGGAGAAAAATGATGTGGTCTCAGATACAACATGTACGATTGAAAATGTAAAGAAGGTTGTGGACCCTACAGGCTCCCATGCGACGAACTTCCCGGACACGAAGTCGTAGTGGCCGCCGACCAGCTTGAGGGTCCCTTTGGCCAGCCGTTCCTTGACGAAGGGGTAGGTCTTGAGGTTCGCGAGGGACACGTTCACGGCCTCCTGCAGAGACATTTAGAAACACAAGGTCCTTTGGTGAGCAAAATCAACCTATTCTTGCAACGACTACCTGATCGTGTGTGTACGGTGCACGTACCTTCTCCAGGATGGAGCACTGGTCATCGAACGGCACCGAGGCGTGCTCTTTCTGCACCTTCGTCTTGGCAGGCGAGCCGATCCTGACCCAGTCCTCAACGAAGTGGCTGGGTACACACCACCAAACCAACAGACAACATGTTAGGATCAAAATCATGACACGAGGCACACGACTCTTTTTTTTTATCTGAATGAAACTTGTATATTTTTACGATGACAACTTACAAGTTGTGAGGTGCGCTGTCATTGAGGGAGAGGAGCGCCCTAATGCCACCACAGCAGCTGTGGCCAATGACCACGAGGACCTCCACCTTGAGGGCGCACACGGCGTACTCGATGGCGGACCCGGTGCCGGTGTATTTGGTCTGCAGTTGAAGAAAACGAAAGGAGACCGTGTGCGGAGTTTGTCAATGCATGCCCCCGGCGGCGGCCGGGCCAGAAAAAAAAAAAGACGTCGATCGGTCGGTGTGTACGCGTACCTTGTCGTAGGGTGGGACCATGGCGGCGATGTTGCGGACGGTGAAGGCCTCGCCGGGCTGCAGGCCCAGGGTCACCGACGGGCACACACGGGAGTCAGCGCAGGCGAACACCATGTACTGCATGCAGCAGAGGAAGAAAATCACCATCAGGTCGGCAAAAAGAGGGAGCACGCACGCAAAACCTGTCCGGTTCCTATGGTTCTTATCGATAAGCAGGTAGGCAGATCGGCCAGATCAGTGGAGGACTACACCCAAAACCAAAAGGCGGCAACTTTTGAGTTTTGACCGGCCTGTCTTTGTTCCAATGCTTTACTACAGGCTGCAGGAAGATTCCTTCCGTTCCGTGCTACTAGTACTAGTGGTTACGACAAGGATATTCTACGCTGGTTTCCGTGTGGCTCTCGGGGCGATCAGCGGCCAAGAAACAACTCGCTGATCTATCCTATTCCCGGCGGCCAATATATATATATATATATATATATATATATATGCATGAATGAACCGAGAACGAATTTCACGTGAGGGGTTTATCTGGCCCTGAGATGTGGGTGTTCAAATCCATCTTACTCATCCGTTCCAAATTATAAGTTGCTTTAACTTTTTTGGTAAATTGATTTTCCTATGTATCTAGATATAACATATGTCTAGATATATAGCAAATTCTATAAATCTGATTGGTTGGCTACCAAAATTTGACATGTCCAAGATTTGGCAAGAAAACGTTATCAAAACTTGGGGAAAAATATTTGTCATAGATTGCCAATTGTGAGGTATTTGACAAATTTTGGTACCAAACCAAATGACTGCCAAAATCTTAGCTTGCCTAAGTTTTGACAACCAAATTTTGGCTATCAACCAATGAGGCTCTACATACTTAAAAAAAAGTCAAAGTGACTTATAATTTGAAACGGGTGGAGTACAAATTAAGGTTGGCGGAGCAGCTGGCATCAGGAGGCAGGAGGCTGGAATGTTTGTTCGGGCTTTGGATTAGCTCACACTTGGAGAGGCCGTGTGATTTAGAAAGGGGTCCGGGGATACAAAGGCGACTAGGACGCATGGCGTAATGCAATCATCTTCCACAAACTTTGAGACATCTGTAGTGTAGTAGAGCATATTTCCTCGAGGATCGGCATATGCATGGCCAGTGAGATATGGATGCGAATACACACAGTGTTCTCAAGGCTAAAGCAACAGGCCCTGCCCAACATTTATGCGCCTAACTACTTTTGCAAGGGGTGTGAGAGGACAGGAGAGACGACACGTCCAAACCAACTACTCACGATGAAGAAAGAATCCCGTGAGGTGAGCGACGGACCAGTGCTTCACAACCACGGGACAGGACTGGTCGCTTCGATAGCTCAATGGTGGGGCCTTTGCTCAATCATGGCTGGACCACACATTAGCCATGGAATGATGATCGCTAATACTCCTAGACACCTAGTATTATCTACATGGCTCCCCTTGCATTATTTCTGTTCTATAATGAGGCTACGAGACTTGGGGTTCGTCTCTTTGTGTTGTGTATGGTTATGGTATGTGAGTGTCAAACAAAAAGCAAAATGACGAGACATCTGAAATGGCTGGTCACCACCATCTGTTGCTGGCGTTCAAATGTAATGATGGAAGTGACCATTATAGTTCAAAAAAGAATTCAACACGGCTAGCAGGTGGAAGTGACCATTATACTTCAAATGTACAGAGTAGTTCTTTGTTTTCCACAGACCGAGTAGGCCAAATTAGACTGCTTTATCTTCTCCTTTACTACAAAGAATATTTGACCACTGGTAACTTTTATGGGTCAAAAAACTAGTAGAACCAGCTAGCTACACCATGCATGCATGCATGAAGTAATTTCTACTAATTAGGCGCATGGGATCGATGCCAAATCAAAACTCCCATCAAGAAAAACAATAAACTCTGTACTTGCAAGATTCTGGCACCAGGTTATAATACTAGGAAACACAAGGAAAATCAATATATCCGTCATCTGCAAAGTGAGCCTATATAGGGACGGCTGCATCTCAATAATTTACCAACCAAATGCAAATCACCAGCCAGCATGCAGCGTATGGCTTTGCACGTGCATGGGGATGCACTGGCATCGCGCATGTTAGTGCCCACCACAGTGGTGGCGGGAGCTATGAAGGATTTTGCATTCATCTATGTATCCCACTACACCATTTCTTTGCGCCATGGCCTAGCTAGTGCGCCCATGGATCGGAGCAGACTTGCACTAAACAGTTATAGGACTAGTTATATAGTATATCCAACAGACTATTGCTTGCCAATTGGTCGCTAATACTAATACAATGGCGGCAAGCTGTCACCGTCAGCTTTAAGCCGTGCAATTAGGACAATCCGTTTCCTTTTGTCTACTGCAGCTTTGACCTCGTTACATCAGGCGCCAATAATAATGCTGCGTGCGCACCCAGGGACACAGGGTGGGTGATGAATAGTGCAGGTGCGGCAGGGTTGCTTGCCTCTTGCCTCTTTGCAGATGGGAATGCGCAGCAATGCAGGGATGGTGATGAGCCACAGAGCTAGTACTAGGCACGAGTAACGACTCGGTTCTCTGAGCTTGCCTCAACCTGGACATCTGGGCAACCAGCAGTAGTACTACCAAATCTTTGGGCCAGTTAGTTGGCCGGAGTCGCTACACGCTAGAGACAAAAAAAAAACTTAGCGGCGTACAAGGGAGCCGAGAAGAGAAGTCAGCATGGTAGTAGCACATACCTTGGGGGCCTGGCCGGCCTTGAGAGGCTCGAACAGCTCCGGCTTCTTGCTGCGGAAAAAATCAAAGGTGCACGGGATCAGTTGGAGCTCACAGAATTAAAAAAAACAGCTCAGATGACTTACTCATAGACCTCGGTCTTGAACTTCTGGAACCCGACCTTCAAGCGCTCGATGGCGTCCATGCCCTGCAATATCAATAGAGAAACATCGTCGATCAATCAGTTTGCCAACCATAGAAAGACCAACTTGCATGCTCGTGATCGTGATGCAGCATGAGGGGGTACAAAGAGAGAGGGAAGGGGCATGATGCAATGTTCGGCCTCCTTGCCCACATACCACAATAAAAAGCATGCACAAAGGTGATCGAAAAGGAAAATAGGGATCTTTACACCACCACAAATACTACATAGGGAGAAAGTGAAAGCTGCATGCAGTGGCTACTGATGGCAACACACTAGAGGAAAATAAAATAGAGGGATAGGAGGAGATAACTGTTTGGAGGATGGTGCTAAGGGTGCGGGAGGAGGAGGAGGAGGAGGAGGAGGGAACGGACCTTGGAGGGAGGAGGTGGAGGTTGGGTGGGCTTCGGGTTCTGAACGACTGATGTGGTGGTTGAATCTATGGACGGCTTCGCTGTCCCCTCCTTCTTTTTGGGGAGGCAAAGGCAGCTGCTCATCTCCTCCTCTTTGCTTCCTCTCCTCCCTTATCACCGGACGGATGGATGTGATGCGGCTCTCCCTCCCTTTCTCTCTCTCGTTCGACTCTTGAGCCGCCTGTCGTCTCGTTTACTAGCAACATGACGCGTGCAATTGTGTCAGTGAAGAGAAAGATACACACGCAGCGTTCACGTTCAGGAAAAATCAATAACGGCTGAGAGCAGCTTTTGTGGATAGATATAAAATGTCAAGTCCCCGTCTCGGTTTTTCTTTTTCTTTTTTGAGTGGTACGGACGTGCGTGCTAAACTTTTTCTTTTAAGTTTATTTAGCTAGCGGATTAAATGCAATCAGGCGCTGATGTTCTTTGGCATACCAAAAGTAGAGCCAACCCGATGTGTGTAATTTAGACTACAGGTTGGGCCAGAAATTAAACGGGGGTACTATGTATGCACTCGTAATCGCTGAGGCCGAGATTGGAGGGACAAGCTGACCTTGCTGGGAGGAGCAATTTTCTGACGATCTGTGCAGTGCAGTGCAGTGGGTACCGTACTACCAGACACCAAGCACAAACAAGTGGCCCGGCCCGGCCATCTGCGCGAGCGCGATCCTTCCTTTTGCTCCCCACACCGCAAGAAACGTTAGTTTCCCCAAGAGGTTCTCGTTCCCAGATCCAAGGACGCTGGCACACTGGCCACGTGCGCACGGCCCCCTACCGCAGGGGTTTCGGTTCCCAGATCCAAGGACGATGGCACGCTGATTCCGATCTGCCTATAGGCTACGACACTACGTGCGGTCCGCCCTCTGGACTGGACTGGACTAGCAAATTCTGCCAGCTTCTGAATCATATACTATTCTGAAGGTCCCCGCTCCGGACGCCAATAGGCGATGGCACACGGCCCTGGGGCGCGCTTAAATTACTCCCTTCAGCCGTCGGGACCGTGCCAGTTCTCTTCCTAAATTATTGGAGCGGCTCAGCAAATCATCACGCCAGCCGAGACGACGAAACCCTGCCCCCTGAGGCCTCGTTCGTTTCTCTAGTATCGGCCCTGAAAGAGGTCCATTCCACCCGAATTGGGCCAGCACGAAATGAATACCAGTCCAGCACGGAACAGGCGTTCGGTTAAGGCTAGCGTAGATTATAATCCAAACCATTTCGACAATTCAACCCCCTCTATAGCCTGAACCAATCCCCACCTATGACCCGTAGGAACGAATCTCTCTGGAATCTTGGTTCAGGAATGAAAAGTGGACCGGATTCACGCCTGAGCTGCCGAACGAGGCCTGATGTGCGCTCCTAATCCGGCATTCGCTGCCGTGCTTTGCTGCTAGCTTACCCATCATGCATGTTGGTGTGCTAATGAGGAACCGCTGCTAATAATGCAGTCTTAAACATGTCGCTACCTGAACCATCGATCGATGCCGGAACGACCTTTTTGGAGTATTGTTTTTTTCATTATTTCGATTAATGGTGTGCTAGCTCCTACTATATATTTCTCCCCTTCTCCGCATATCTACTGCGCTTGTCTGATGGTAGCTACGGGTTTTGTACTGTACAGTCTGTAGCACAGAGTCGTGGTCCGGTACCGCGGTCGATGTCATGCTTGCGCGCATCACATCAGTGTGAGGTGTCGTGTCGTCAACAACGAAAATCTGGCCTCGCTCCTCGTACGTACTCCTGCCTACTAGCCTGACAAGTTTGCACATTGTTACTACCAAAGTTTACCACAGAAAACCGCCGTTAATTAACTCCTGTCCCTGATCCAATATGCATGAAAATTTTGTTCCTCCAAAAGAATAAAAAATATGTTTTTTCCTCAAATTAAATCTCCGGCTAGCTAGTTCGTTGCTCTGAAAGACCCAACAGTGCACAAATTAAAGCAAAGCAGGAAATTATGGCCGTTATAAAAAGGTAAACTGACGTTGATGGGCACTACTAGTAGAGCTTTATCGATGGGTCGGTTATTGAACTACCTGGATGCGTCATGGATCAAAAGGGAACTCAAAAGCCAAAAGACGCGGATTAGCTCTTCGAGACGACCCTTCTAACTGTAGCTATCATATACAGTACATGTCCATGACCCCACTACGTACACTACTGGTCTTATCGCTTTAGGGAAAAGGCAGCCATATATATATATATATATATATATATATATATATATATATATATATATATATATATATATATATATATATATTTTTCACGCTCGACATCACTAAACAAGTGTACTTGGAACTTTTCTTCTTTCCACACTCGAGACTTTTTGTGGAATTCTGTTATTATTGAAAAGCAGGCATCTAGTGGTTTCCTTCTTCAAACTAGCCCTATCATGGGCCACCTCTTCGGAAACACCTCCCTTCCGGAATATTCTATTGGAAATGGTTGACATGCTTATGTGCTAGCTACTAGATGGTGGGAAAGTGATTTAAGTTACTGTCACTGGCTATTCCCTCTGTCCAAAATAAATATGTTCTGGATTTAACGTAAATTAAACTATCTTAAATTTGATAAATTGGAAAATACAATAGCATGTCCATCTTGATGTTATAAAGGCTAGTTAAGATACTTGACTTTAGGATGAAGCTAAGAATGACTTCTTTTCAAGATGCATGGGCGGAGTATATATTATACTATTCCATGATTGGTCCAAAATAAGTGGAGAACATGAGATTATACTATATATATGCATGGTACAACGCATTTGCAGACCTGGCCGGCGTTAGACTGTCTTCAATAACCGCCACCTAAAATACAAGACCCATTCGTCCTTTGGATAGCGCTACAGGCAAATGGTTTAATATTTATTTTTGGTCTTCTCTAACAACAAGACCCAAAAGACAACCCTTTCTGCAAATGGGTCTCCAGGCGAGATGATACTCAGATTTAGGTTATGCCTCTCCCGGCACCTAAAATGGGTCTTCCATATAGGTACTCTGTTGTAGGCTATAGATATTGTGTTGGAGACCTATTTTAGATTTGAGTTCCACAATAGGTCTCCCGTTGGAGACAGCCTTAGTGGCTCTTGTAGACCGGAAGGGTGCGGTGCCTCCATGCTCTTACGGAGGACATATATGGCACACACATTTTTTTTCCCTATTGACTGGGGAGGGCTATGAAGCGGCAAAACTATTGGTGGCGAGGTGCATTATTACTTTGGGTTGAAATCCTTGCGTGGCACTCGGATTTTGTTCGGGTTTCCAGAATATCCTGCATGGCCCGTACCATACTTCTAGGTAATGGGAGCGAGGACCTTTGGTTGCATGAGTCCATTTCGTGGAGACACGTGTTTAGAAGCGACGACATGCATGCATGTTGTACAATGCATGTGCTCAGTGTGCAGTGAGCCATGCATTGGCACGTACGTACCACGAGGGTGGCGGGGACGGCGAAGACGGGGGCGTTCCTGATGAGGCTGGGCCGCCGGCGGACCGAGGACGGCGCGGGGGTGCTGCCGAGGCTGGCGACGATGCTGGACGTGGAGGCGCGGACGGCGAAGCTGGACATTAATTGTTGTGCGAGTACTGCCGCTTGCCCTGTGCTGCTGCCTCCGGTCCTTATACACACGGACGCGCGCGTGCCGACAAGGCCGTTACAGCCCCGGGTGTGCATGTGTGGCGGCAGTCTCAGCGCGGGGCGGCGTCGTGCGGCTCGCCTGCGCCGGTGCATCCGGGCCACTCGGCGCCTCATCCGCCAGCGCGCCACTCGCTCCTCTCGCGAGGATCGATGGGCTTCCCCCCTCGCGATCGGACAGGCTCGGGATAACGCGCGGCGGCACCGTGTGGCCGACGGGCGCGCGCCGGATGCACATCTGCGTCCTGGACCACACGCGCGCGCGGCCGGGTGCTGGGGAAGCGGGCCGGCGGGATTGAAACGCGCGGCGTCGAGAAACGACGACGCTGCGGCCTTGCTTGCCTGCCTGTGTGGGTCGCGCTCTCGCAGTAGTCTCGCTGGATCACCAGCGTATCTGGTGGATCTGCAGTTTGTGTGGACGCGATGCTGCTGCGGCAAGGGAGCCGTTGGCCCGTTGTGTGCGGTGGCACAAGAGATGGAGACATGGAAGAAGAACGCAGGCAGAAAAAAACGAGGGAGCTTGCTGTCAATTGTTTGCTTGCCGAAATGCCGAGACAAGAGCGGCGAAATCAAGCTAGGGACTGTTGTTCTTGGCTATGAGAGAGACGGGCTTGTTGCTTACTCATCTACTGCGTGTGAATCTGTGGATGTTCGGTGGTAAGAAAATGAATGAAGAAGCAAGGAGTAGGAATGCAGGATCCCGCCGTCGCCAGCGCGCGTGAATCTGAATTCTGAATCCTCTGTGCGTCATCACCGTTGCTCCTCATCTCCGGCGGTCTCCCTGTGTGGTGTGCGGCGGCGGGCTATGGATGACACTTGGCAGGGACGCCTACCGTTACAGTTGGCGGGCCGTGGGCTAGTGACTGTGGGCCTGCTAGTGTTCAGCACTTCAGCTGTTCCTTTTGCTTTAGCAGGAAAACAGCAGCTGTTTCTCAAAAAAAAAAAAAAAAAGGAACACAGCAGGTGCTTTACCTTTGCATGTGAAAAGGATACAACAAAATTTACACGGCGTTTAAAAGTGCCCAGAAAAACTGAAAAGAAAAGGGAAAACGGAGATGAAAAAAACTGCACAACAATTGCAGTCAGCACTTTGGCTTTACATACAGATTAGTTATCTACACGATGTCGCTATATATAGTAGAATGTCTTATTGAATTAAGCTAGCTTGCTACCTGTTAAATTCCGTATCAAACCACTTCAACACACATGGATTGAGGTGGATATATATATACATCTAAAAGGGCTAAGTCCTTCGTTAGGATAAAATTAATCTCATTATTGTTCCTTAATAAGAGAATTCTCCGCGGAGAAATGGAGAATAGGGCAGTTGACATCTCTGTGTGTGTAATTGGCGTTTTCTTGGCGTCGGTGAAATATATCTCTATCTAGCTATATTCTGGCCACCAGTCATCAGTCATCACGGTCGGTGCAAGATGTGGCTACCGTTT